ACGGCCCCCACCTCGCAGGGAGCCAGACGCTGGTCTGGATCACAGTCAGAACTGACCTGGCCCATCTCTGCAGTGGGGTCGGGGATAGGACAGCACACCTTGACTGCAGCTGTATATTTGGGAGCTGGGAAGAAAACACCCAGCACAACCAGCTGTCCGTTGTGTAAGACTTTGAGAGCTCTTGACCACAGCGGTGCTGTGTCCCTTCACCCCCTTCTACACCCAAGCCAACCCCACTGCAGCTGCCAAGAGGTCACACTTTCTGTAAGACTAACCTGGGCCCAGCAGGGAAGGAGGGACCGGAGCTCAATGCAGAAGTTCACACACAACCCACAGGCTCACCCACCTCCCAGGTCTGGCTTCCGCTGTCCTTCCTGCCCAGTGGCCSTGGACTTGATGCAGAATCCAGACAAAATGAGAAAGCCTGGCCAGAGTGACCGGGAACAGGGCAATACAGACTTAATTTTCATGTTCCCCGAAAGCTCACGGGCATGAGCTCTGGCCGGGGATAAATCCTAACTTGGATCCTGGACCTTCGGTCACACCTTGGCATTATGTCATGGAACCCTCTCCGTGGCTTGGGTGGGGCTCCACAGAACATGTTGAGGTCAGAGCTGGGCCCAGCACTCTGTCTGCTGACCTCCAAGGGGCTCCTTCTCTGTGTCCTGCTGATTCTGTTTTGCTATTGCAGAGGCAGAAGAAATTTTCTGTCTGAAATTTGCTTTCAGAGTGATGTCCTGAGATTAGCCATTTTCAGAAAGGTCATTTTCTGAGAACAGTCTGAAAATGTTCTTGTCAGTGGAGGAGTAATTGCCCTGTGATTTTCCTCTAGAAAGTCTCTAGTATCAGGTGGAGCAGGGCTAATATTGCTGCAGTTTGTGACACTGAAATTGACTCTCAGGCTTCTGGGGGACCGCGAGAGAGCAGGGAGAGAGTGGAGCAGGAGGCGCCTCTCTGGGTGAGTCCAACTCACCTGTCCTGCAGACCGCTCAGGAGAGACAAGTGGGTGCTGTGGAGTGAATCAGAGCCTCCGCACCCCCTTGCACCACTGTTTCCTTTGGAATTGAGCTGGGGGAACTGTAGCAATGTAGGCCCTCCAGCTCCCCCCGCCCAGTCAGGCTCCCCCATTTCCTTTCTGTAGGCCTGGCCCCTGTGCCTACCATCCCACAGCTGAGGTCAGTGTGCAGGTCTGAAGAAGCTTTGCAAACAGTGACAGAGAGAGCTGCGCAGGAGAGGGGCTTGTGGAGCAGAGCACCCCGGAGCCCCGCCCTCTGCAGGCCGCTGAGGGAGAAGGCGGGCATAGCCAGGCAGATGGCTCACCAGCTCCATGGAAACCCTTGGAGGGAGTTTCAGGGCCTTTCACAGACTTGAGTGATGGGCTCTTACAAGTCACTTCTGCCTCTGATATGGGAAACGGCTGCTCAGTCACAGTTCATCCATTCTTCCATTAACATTGCAGGGCCAGGGTCAGGGCCTATGAGGAATGCAAAATAAAGATTAAATGACTGTTTCCCACAGGACTGCACTTCCTCTGGAGGTGATAAGACATAATAAAGCATCTGTGCTACAGTGTGGGTGGCCAGACTCCCACAGCAGTGAGCTCTGCCTCAGGGAGGCAGCCGCTAGGGTGTATGGGAGTCCACCTGTCACTCGAGGGGAGTGGCTTCACCAAGTGCACCCCCAGCGACCGCAGACGAGATGAATGCAATGACAGCCTGGAGCTGGGTGCGGTGGTGCACACCTAATACCAGTGACTCAGGAGCTGAGCCAGGAGGAGTGCAAGTTCAAAGCCAGCCTCAGCGACTTAGCAAGATCCTAAGCAACTTGGCAAGACACTGTCTCTAACTAAAAAATAAAAAAGGGCTGGGCCCCAGATCAGTGGTTAAGCACCCTGGGTTCAGTCCCTGGAACCAAACAATAATATTAATGATGACAGATTTATTAAGCATCGAACACCACTCTCCTAGGAACCTTCTGTGCACTGTCTCATGTGATCTGCACAGTGAGCTGGTAAGTACGTGCAACTATTATGTCCACTTTACAGATGAGGACACTGAGGCCATTGGGGAAGGAAGCCAGGGTGCCAGATGTCAGGGCTAACAGTGTCAGCAGGGCCCCTGCTCGGAGCCTCTCTGCYACACCACTCTGCACGCCGTGGAAATGCATTACTCCAAGACCCCGTCCTGGAAGGAATGATTCTCACTACCAGCTCCTGAGCAGGCTCACTCTACMGAAAGGCAGCCTCACAGGTGCCGGGAGCAGGTTGGCAGTTCACCCCGTGCTCCTAGGCCTGGCGCCCGTGGGGTCCAGTCAGTCTTGTCTGGGCAGTGTGACCTGAGGTGGTGTGTGAGAAGGTGACACAGCACGCTCCCACTCGGGGCCAACGGGCTACCAGGCTGGCTGCCGGCCAGCGGGGAATTYGCGGAACTTGGCTTGCCCTCAGTCCTCTGCTCAGCTTATCTCCCTGCGTCTATTTCTACTTAAGGGAACTTACTGCCGTGGGAACCCTGTCTGCTGAGGGTTGCTGAGTGCCCAGGACAATGGGAGCTGTGGCACGGTGGCTCCAGGGAGGTCACAGCTCAGCCCAGTCCTGAGGGCTCTGTCAGAGGAAAGCCACAGCCCAGCGCTGGAGAGAGGCAGAACCCAGCACCATGTGCTGCTMCTTCTCTCCCCAGATGCACAGGAGCTTGGCTCTGACTCTTAGGCTCCTGCTGAGGTCGCCTCCCCCACCCACGTTGCTAGGAATTGGGCAGCAGAGAGCATGCTGGGAGACGGGCCCCAGAGCTACCCACGTTGCTCCCCCCTAGTAGCCCTAGTGCCTGTGTTTGGTTGAGTACCCGGATACCGAACGAATGGAGAGGGAAGACACCTTCCAACCAGGGATAAACAACCTGATTAATGTCTAGATTCGTCAGATCTATGAGTTCATTTCCAGCAATGAAAAAGAACAAAATAAAATCCAGTTGCCAACGGTGTTGGTCTGCGTGCCTCTCCACGGCCAGCCCGGGCACTTACTGTCACCTTGCTTCTGACACTTTCTGGGGACTTTTCTTTTCTGGACAAACAGGCTGTATCCCAGCAGCCATCAGGCTGAGTCACAAACTACCTGCTGTGCCCACTCTTGAAAGGGGACATCCAGGGCCAGGATGAGTAGAAAACGCCAAGACACGGAGGTGGCTAAAGACCTATTTTGTAAGGGTTTGTTYTGGGGTTGAATGTGTCCTTCAAAGTTCACGTATGGGACACTTTATCCCCAGATTCATGTAGATGGTATTTGGAGGTGGGTCCACTGAGAGGCAGTCATGGGGGAGGGGCCCTATGATGAAGGCGAATAGAGGCCCAAGCTGGCCTACTTGCTCTGCCTGGCCTGAGATGCCCTCCGCCACGTTAAGATGCAGCAAGAAAACCCTCACCAGAGCCCAGGACCAGGCGGCTGGATTCCCCAGCCACCAGAACTACAGAAACCTCTCCTCTTTATAAACCACAGACCAGGGCAGTCCGTGAAGGTCATGTTTGTGTAAGGCGAGGACCCTCTGAGCAGCACCCTCATCATCCCAGCAGAAAGGGGCAAAACTTAGGGTGCTGTGGGCTTTGGGGCATGGGAGAAGGTGGTGCTGGAGATGGGACAGAGGAAGAAATGTCTGCACTGCTCCAAGCCCACCCTTGGTGAGGAAGGTGCCGTCAGATACAAGGGACAGTTCCAGGAGCAGCACAGCACAGCACCAGTGAAGCTGCTTCCTGGACCGTGGACGGGGCGGAGCTGCCACGTGTGAGGAGCAGGGCTTGGTGCTAGGACAGGAAGGACCCTGGAGGGAGCTGAGTTCCACTGGCCTGCTGCTCTTCTGTGGGGACTGCTCCACCTCTCTGGCCTCTCGGCAGCACTGGGGCAGCTGGGGACCCTGTGGCACTAGGGCTTGGACAAGGCTCCTGAACAACCCTGAGAACCGGGGGTGGTAGCCCTGGACAGAGCCCTGCACACTTCTGGGCTGGGATGCTGTTAGCAGAGAATAGTCCATGGACTTGAGTTCCTCAATTCTCTGGATTTATATGTGTCTCCTCCTCCTCCTCCTTCTTCTTCTTCTTTATTTGTTCTAATTAGTTACGACAGCAGGATGCATTTCAATTCATTGTACACAAATGGAGCACAACTTTTCATTTCTCTGGTTGTACGTGATGTAGAGTCACATCGTATGTTCAGTCACRCATGTACCTAGGGGAATGAAGTCCATCTCATTCCACCATCTTTCCTGCCCCCACACCTCCTCTCCTCCCCTCTGCCCAAAGTTCCCCCATTCTTCCCATGTCCTGTCCCTAATTATGGATCAGCATCTGCATATCAGAGAGAACATTCAGCCCAACACTGATTATAGCTTGTATTCTCGATAATTGCCATTCTGACAGGGGTGAGATGAAATCTTAGAGTAGTTTTGATTTGCATTTCTCTAATTACTAGAGGAGTTGAACATTTTTTCATATATTTGTGGATTGATTGTGTATCTGCTTCTGAGAAATGTCTGTTCGGTTCCTTAGCCCATTTATTAATTGGGTTATTTATTTTTTTGGTGTTAAGTTTTTTGAGCTCTTTGTGTATCTTGGAAATAGTGCACTATCTCATATGCGTGTAGTAAAGATGTTCTCCCACCTCTTAAATTCAGTAAAATGATTAATATTATCTTTTACTTTAAATGGCCTGAAAAATATACAACGTTGCATTTGTAGAATTCATAACCACCTGTTTATGTGTTCCTTCACCTAACTACATACCCATAGAGGTGTCTCAGGAGCAGTGTCCCCTAACTTCCTCCAGTTGAAAGACTCTGAGTCATTTGAATATTAATGGTGAGCATTTGTCATTTCTACCTAACTTCTATTTTTTGTATAAAAAGGGAATATATTGTTAGCATCAGGCCAGGGAAGGAGCAGGTGGTGTCAGGGGGATCTCMGGAAGGTCTGTTTGTGCATCAGCGTCTTAGGTTCTGGGTCTGCTCTCTCCTCCTCAGGTACCAGACGTGCTCCAACAACGGGCTGGTGGCGGGCTTCCAGAGCCGCTACTTCGAGTCGGTGCTGGACMGAGAGTGGCAGTTTTACTGTTGCCGCTACAGCAAGAGGTGCCCGTACTCCTGCTGGTGAGTCCCTCCTGACCCTGGGGCTGCAGGGAAGCCCGGTGAGGATGGGGGATCGAATTAGAATTGTTGCACTGCAGGGAGCCCGCAGCTGCCCAACGCACCCTTCCTTCTCTGACCAGAAGGGAGACAACATGGAGCAAGGCCGGGGCTGACCCCAAGTGCCCAGCCACTTCCCAGGGGTGCTGAGCCTTGACTGAGGCCTGCTGACCGTGGGYCTGAGCTTCTTCCCTCCTCCATGCCAGCTTCCTGTCACATCCAAGGCTGCAAGACCCACTCGGGGGCCTGGATCCCCGCGTCCCCCTGGGAGAAACCAGCCCTGTCGTGGGTTAGTTCTARCATATAGTTACAGACAGAAAAGGAGCTGCTGCTCTTTTCTGGATCAATTTGAAATCACAGCCTGTGGGGTTTTGTTCTTCTCCTCTCCTCGGCTCATGCCCAGTGTCCACCGACCTAAGCTTCCAGTGGACTGGGAGAATGTATTTGTTATTCACCCAGATAACTCAGTCCCACGTCCTTACAAGCCTGGTGTTTCTGCCTTGGACAAAGGGACCCAAAATGTCACCACACTTGAAGGCTGGTTCAGGCTAGTGACTCATCTCTGCAGTCTGACGCTTGGCAGGACCGCCTGGCGGGTTCTGTATGCCCCTGCCATCAGAGAGTGCTACTCCAGAGGCCAAGAGGCTTTCGGTGTCCCTAGGGAGAGAGACAGCATGAAGCACTGACAGGGAACCCAGAGTCCCTTCAGTTGAGGTCTGTGGCTGCCTGAAGGAGCAGAACCCTCCCCAGCCCCCCAGCTCCCCAACCTCCTTCCACAAAGCCTCCTGCACCTGCTCCTGGTGAGTCCCAAATCGAAGGTCCCAGCCGGGGAGTAGGTGGAAGGAGTCTCTGTGTGTCCTCCTGCAAGCTCTCCTCCCCTCCCCACAGCACAGCCTCTTACTCTCTGAACAGCCTCAGTGCTTTGGGGGACAGTGTCTTTGGGGCACAGAGGGGTGGTGCACTTAAGCAGGTTTTGCAGAAGTTTGCYGGGTCTGGAATCCGCCCTCCCTCCAGACCATCCATGGATCATGGCTGGGAACCAGGTGTTTGAGGGCTTCCGAGCTTCYGATGCCTCAGTTCCAGAGGTGCACTGTCTTCAAAGAGAGGATGAAGGTTGCAGAGAGGAGAGGAGAGGGGGTGAGAGACTGCCAGCCTGCTGGGGCCTGAGGAGTGGCCTTCTGCTGTGTTCCTGCCCCATCTGCTTGTCTCAGGATGGAACCAGCCTCCCTCTGGCATTCAAAGCCTTCAAGATGTAAATAAGCACAGCTGGTCCTTGACAATTTCCTGGGCAAGGCTCCTGAGGAGTGACAGGGGACGGGGTCAGGTGCCTCTGACCCGTCCTGGGTGCGCCTCTTCTCAGGATCTGTGTGTTCCGTGAGCCTGTGCGCCTGGTTGTTCTGCCCAGGCGTCCACGTGCCTCTGATTCATCAGGTTAGTGCCTGGGCGGTCATGTTTCTGAACAAGATGGGTTTACCGGGTTGTGTCCTGTCGCGGGGCCTGGTGTTGTGGATTTGCGCGGACAGGTGTGGGGTCCTCCCGCCTCAGCACTGAGACTGCACGCGGAGCGGCTGACGGTGGACTTCCTCAGAAGGGCGGGGCAAGCGGACCCTGAGGGGGTCCCCTGGGTGTACCTGCACTTGGAGGGCTCTGCTTCTCTTTGGTGTTAGAGCTGAGAGCTGCCCTGGCCACGGGAAATGGTGCCCGTTCAAGGAAACCTCGGAGAAGCGGCAGGACTGGCGTCTACTGAGCGCCAGGGCAGGCTGTGACACTCACTGCCCACGCGAGTCTAGACATTTCAGGGGCAGACTTAAACGGCCTGAGTCATGGCGTTCCAGAGAGTCTTTCTAAATTGGATGAGACCTCTCGGGCACATTTCTTCAGCATCTCAGCATAYGGCCTGGCACAAAGTCGACCCTTAATGAATCTGTGAAATGAGTAACTGCCCGTGGCTCGGCCTAGGGACGGGCGCTGGGGAGGACTGGCGGCTGCGATGGCGCTTTCCAGCCGATAAAGACGTCTTTTGTGTGCATTACTTTACTGAATCCTTTTAACAGCCTTGMCGAGGGAAGTGAGAACTGGGTCCAGCACTTTCCCACAGTGAAATGCTGATGACTCTCTGACTCAAAACCTCCCCTTACATCACCGTAACTGGCTGGTCTCCCTCCAGGGAACTCGGCTCCCACAGTGGGGACCACCCTCTTCCCCTTGGAAAGCATCGTGCACTGTTTTGAACTAGCAAAGTGTCCAGCATCTCTGTGCTGAGAGCATTTAGGGATTTGGACATACCACCACTCTGGGCTGGAAAAAACAGACCATGAGCCAACTCCCAAACGAGTGCAGCATTTATTTGTTTGGTGGGAACCAAGGTGCTGCTCTGACGTGGGCCTGTGCAGTCTCTGGCTGGGCAGCGCGGCTCGCTCATCCTGGCTAGAGAGCACATTCCTGATGGATGCGGACACACGGGGACCCAACGGTCCCCGCGGGATCGGACGAGCGTGTGAACTTGCATGTATTTATTTGTGAGGGAGAATTTAAATTCCTGGTCCAGTGGTCTGCAAACCACAAACACATGTCCCTGGAGGCGCCCCAGCCCTTCAGAGACCGCTGGGCTCACTTCCACTCTCCAGGAAGGCCCAGCTGCTGCTCCTCRCACGCCAGCCTGTCTCCTGGACGGGCAGGGACACAGGGTGTCCCCGGAGCCAGAGGCCTGCACTGAGCAGTTGTTTCCTTTTCTAAATGGTCTGCGGTCTTAGTGGGTTCTCTGGAAAATATATATCTTGGCAGGAAAATCAGGCATCAACTTGCCTGACCCTTACATCTCCCTTCACCCCAGGGGTTCTGTGCCTCTCAGACGTCACATTCCCCACTCCTAGCTCCCCAATCTCCGTCCCCAAGTTCCAAGCCAGAGTGTGGTTTTCCCGAGGTCCTGGACAGCCCCAGTTAACAACAGAATCGGTGAAGCTGCCCATTGCTTTCTCTCCCCCTCCAGAGCGTCCAGTCCAAGCTCAGGGCCCGTCCTCAGGTCCATACCTTAGTGCAGGACGGGGTGGGTCTGCCAGCCCTCTCGCAGTCCTGCTGTGTCAGGGACAGGAAGGAATCACAGGTCCCTCCGTTGTGCCGTCGCCCTGCCCCTGGAGGGTAGCCTCTGACACCAGCTTTCCCAGAGGCCTGGTGGGAGGGCAGTTCTCTGTGGATTCCTCCCCAAGAGCTGGAAGTGTTGGGGATCCCCAGGGTTTGAGGCCCCACTAACAGCCTCACCTTGGGTGGCACAACCCACCAGGCCCTCCTCCTGCCCCACAGCAGCCCCTCTGGGCAGAACGGGTCGTCCATTTCCTCAACTGGAGTGGCCATGTTCATAATTCAGACGTGTCCTTGCTGCTACACACGGCCAGGGCCTCCCCGCCACGTCCCCCTCCCGGGACTCAAACCTCAGACACAGGAGTTTCCGATGCGTCTGGTGGCTCTCCCGAGTCTGGGTCCTCTGGCTGCTGGGAGTGACAGGCCCCGCGGGCAGGTCTGGTCCTTCATTCCGCCTCTTGGGCCTCACCCCTCTACTGGGCTCCAGAGGCGACCATTCAGCTCTCCACACAACAGCTCCTCACCAGTCACCCGCGAACGTGAGTGGGTATACAGTGAGCAGAATTCGTAGATTTGGGTTGAGCTCCCGACGGGGAGGAGGAGGGCGGCTTTTGCTGTGGAAGGGAGCCTGCGCGCGTGTGTTGGTCGCGGAACCTCACACACAGAAGCTGCGACCCTATTACACAGAGCGGGAGCTGAGGGCTGAGCAGGGCCATCTCTTTGCCCAGCACCGAGCCGTCTCTCACCTGGTGAGGGAAGAAGAGACCTCCAGGAGCAGCAGCAGAGCCCGGAGGTGGTCACTCTAGTGGAGGGGGCCGTTGGGGGGACATCATGTGGCTGATGAAGTCAACTGAGTCACCACAAAGGTTGCCGGCCAGGCCTGGGCTGGGACAGAGCACCAGAAACTCTGTTCCAAGAGAGCAATCTGAAGAATGCTCAGGGATGTTCCTCTTCCGATGTAAGCCGGAGATATCCCTGGGACTGTGTTCCCTGGGTCGTGACGCTCACCGAACTGATGAAACATGAACCCCAGATGCCACCAGAAGTCGTCCAGGGACGTCGGACACTCGCTCTCCCATCCCAGCTCCAGGGAGCAGGCAGAGGTCTTGGTCCTTCAGTCCCACTGGCCAAGCCCAGCCCTCTGGGGGTAACCAGGGTACTTATTCCTTCATRGGCACCTTTCTTTATACATGCATAACTGCAATGGGTTTTGTTTTTCCTATGTTTGCAAAAATAATTTAAATGGTTCWGTTGCAACACCTGTTGGTGACACCAGGGCGTCACCGAAGCAGACAAGGCGGCCTCGTCGGACAGGTTCTCGTTCCCGGCTGCTTTGCTGGAAAATCTCTGTAGAGAGGGTGGATCATGAGCAGGCTGGGGTTACCAAGAAAGCTCTTGGCGATTTGCTGTCGGGAGAGTGTGGAGCATCAGGCCTACAGGTGTGGGGTTCCCCTGGGCTCTCCTACACAGGCTCCGAGAAGGAGTGCGCRGGGCCACGTGCCGATGACCCTGAGCTCACCACGTGGCCATCAGCAGGAAGCACSACACGGTCACACGATTTTCATCAAATGCTGAATATGTGGGCCTGGCCTGCCAGAGGACACCAGAACAGGATATTTAAAATCAGGCACTAGTCGGGTCCACAAACTCAGCCAAGCCACCGTCCTGACCTCCTCCCTCCACCAGGCCCAGCTGAAGGCTTCTTTGAAGTGTGGGTCAAGGCTCAGTATGAAGTGGCTGTGCCAACTTTTCCCTGAAGTGACCTGGAAAGTCACAAGAAAGCTGGACCACCCCTGTCCTGAGGAAGGCCAACGCCACATCCCACAGGCCCCTGACCAGGGGGCCTCCTCATGGCATCTTCCCCACTAGTCCCTACACCCTGTCTCTCTCAGTGTCCAGCTCTGAAAGTTCAAATTCTTTCTTCTCTCAGAGGARCCATTGATTACAGGGCCTTTCATTTATTAGGAGAGAGAGAGAGAGGGAGGAGAGGGAACGAGGTCATCAACAACTAAATGGAGACATCCGTCTGGTTCAAAACTACAGCCTCCTGGGCCACATTGAAACACAGGTTCTGTGGCTGGGATAAAGGTCAGTTGGTAGAGTGCTTACCTTGCATGCACAAGGCCCC